CCTCGCCCCTCATTTCCATGACAATGGCAGTGTGTTTACCTGTGATCCCAGGACCGGCGGGGCATTCCTTTGTCTCCCGATGCGATTACCGCAGCCAGCTGCTCTCCAACCCATCCCCGGGCAAATCCCGAAGTGGCCCCTATATGTGTTTTACCGATGGCACACGAGGAGAAAGTGAGCCCCCCCCCCCCCCCCCCCCCCCCCCCCCCCCCCCCCCCCCCCCCCCTCGTTCCCCTGTGCTTCGTGTTTGTTTGGGTTTTCTCCCTGGTTCGTCTCCGACGAGATTTCGCTCGTGGGAAAGCGCAAGGGATAAAATTGGCTGCTCGTGTGTGTGTGCTTTTCCAAAACGGGACGGATCGGGATGCACATCCTTTAGGGGCACACTGAGGGAAGCGGGAAGCAGCGCCTGCTGTGAGGCTCCGGGGACCTCATACAGGGCTCCCCGTCTCTTTCCCGTGCCTCACGCCCTTGATCTCTCTCCCCAGGAGAGATGCCTTCTCCAGGGCGCTCAGCCTGCACGAAGGCCCACTTCCCAGCAACCCACCTATCTGCTGAAATCTCCTGCCTCACTTCTGCAGAAGGGATGTGGGGACAAATGACAGCATCTCCAGGGTTCACTTGGGTGCAGCTCAGTTCTATTGCCACAGAAGCAGCTTTTCTCCTTTTTAGCCCCACGCTTGCTCCCCACCCCAGGAACTGGGAACTGTGTGAGGAGCACCCATGGTGCCAGGCACCCTCTGATGGCCAGGACAAACCTGCAGCCCCATTGGGCTGGAACAGGCCTGCCCTGGTTCTGAGGCCATGGAATGGGAGGCATGAGCAGGCTGACATCGTGCACACAGGGAAACTTATAGTACTTCTCAGAAAAGTTCTCTGCACTTTGGCAGTGAGGCTCCTCTCAGCAGCAGTTCTTAATTCATTCACTATTTCACCTAAGGAAACCCCCTCTTGTCTTTTCACTGGCTTATCATCGTTATAAGCCAGAACCCCAAAGAGTGGCTGCAAAGTGCTCCCCCAGCCCTGCTCCCTGCCTGCAGCCCACGCAGCGTGCCGCTGTACTGTACCACGTTTCATGCATGAGGGGTTTTTCTGTCCCCTGAGGCCCCCCCACCCCCCCGCTCAGTGCACACATTGTGTGCTGGCTGCAGCGCAGAACCTGCTGCTAATAAACCTTGAGGGGGATGAGGGGGGGTTGGAGTTGGGGGGGGAGAAACAGAGGGGGCAACAGTTTGGTCGTATGTTTGCAGGGCTCTCTGAGCCACTTCCAATTTGTGTCGTTTTTATTTCTTCCTGCATCTCTGCGCGGGGGAGAGGGCTTTTGCAGAAGGTGATTATGAGACAGAGGATGAGTACGGATGGGGCGGGCCGTGCTTTTGGAAATGCTCTCCGCTTTTCTCAGAGCATCTGCCCGGAGACGAACAGATGTGGGCACCTGCGGTGACAGGCCACATATGCTCCGTCCTATTCACAGGCATTCAGACACAGCCACAAAGGCCAGGCTTTGTGCACGCCGAGCCACCAAATATATTAATCTGCGCTCCCCAGAGCACCGCTCTGGTTAATTTTTCCCTGGCAATAACATCAGATCTCAGCCTTCCTCGCTCCCCTCCTTCTCCTGAGAACATGTGGAGCTATCTGGGCCCCACCTGTTGGCTGCGGGCAGAGGTGGGCGTGCAGCAGAGACACCAGGGCTCCCTGCTCACCCCAAGCACGGCAAACCCACCCCCACCTCACACAGCCCGCTCCCCCGCGGGGCCCCAGGGGTCACTTTGTTGGTCAAACTCTGCTATTTGTCCCCGCAAACACCGCTCAACGAGCGGCGCAGATGCAAAATGACATCAATCTCAGGTGCGAGGCTGGGGCTCTTTATTTTATTTTTTTATCCAAATCGCTTCGCTGCGCGCCCTCGTCACCTCCCCCTCTCGGGTTTGTTTGTGCCGGGGGACATCAGGCCCGCGGACGAGCCCGAGACCAACCCCCAACCCCACGCCGCCACTGTGATGAGAACGGGCCGCCGCAGCCGTCCGACGGCACCGCAGGCCAGCGACCCGCTGTCCTCGGGCACGGCCCGGCCGCTGCGCGCATGCGCGGCTCCGCCCTCGGAGAAGCGGAAGCGCCTGTTGGGGTCAGTGCCGGGGGTGCCGCGCCGCGCAGCGCTGGGGGGGCGCTGAGGGATGGGGGCGAGCGGGGCCCCGCTGCTGGCCGGCAGCACGGCCGCTCGCGGGAAGGGCTCGCACCTCGCCCGGGCTGCTCACCGTGCCCGGAGAGCGGCGAGGCCGCGGGGGTGGCGGTGCGTGTGAGCGGGAAGCGGTCGGCTGTGCTCGCAGCGCTTTGAGATGGGGTGCGGTGTTCCGTGGGCGTAGCGTGCGTGTCGTAGCCGTTGTTGGCTGGCAGAGGCCGTGGTGTAGGGATACTCGGAATCTTTGGGCCTGTACGACGCTTAGAGGGAAATGTTACTGGCTGTTTTGGGTCATGGAGGTTTTTTTTATTCCCCTTAAGTTCATGCCCTTGGTAGCTTTGCAGCTAAAATCCTGTGTTAACCTGAGGCTTCTGTCTCACAAAAGTAACAAGCATCCAGCCTTCGTTGCACAAAATATGTTTTCCTCTGTTAAGAAACGTAAGCATTCCAACATAAAGTGTTTTAGTCCTAAGTGGATTGGAGTAGATGATCTCCAGAGGTCCCTTCCAACCCCAGTGATTCTATGATTCCTCCAGTTGTACTGAGGTACCCCTGAGAGAAGCACTGTAGGCAGAATGTTTGCCTTCCCTTTTCAGGCTCTGTGGTGAATTGGAGTGTTTTAACGTGGAGGTTTCTGTGTAGTGGTGGAACAGGGTGTGTGGAAGAATATAAAATCCTCAATTTTTTTAGTGTTGTTTTCAGTAAATGTTTGTGGTCATGTTGAAATGGTAGTAGTGGCCAATATTTTTGCTTATATGGCTGGCTGTTAACTGCCTCTTAATTAAAGTAGGCCATTACTGGTCATGGAGATTTTTCTGATAGTGATGATAATAATATCATAGATTCGCATGAGTTCTTAGGCAAGAATATCTTCAGATACAGGTTTCAGAAGGTGGGGAAAATGTCTCTTTCAATTGTGTATGGCATGGTATAGCTTATAAGTTGTTTACTGCACTTCTTGCTCTAGCTGCGTAGCTGCTGGGGACAGAGTCTGCACTGGTTCATAAATTTTGCTTGGACACGATGTGTTACTACAGAAGTAAGATCTGCTATGGCTTTTTACATCTATGCAGTGAATTTTAAAGGTGAAGATCTTCACACCTCTTGCTAGGTCTCCATGGAAAGTGATAAAAAGGGATAACCTTCTAGAACTCAAATCATTCGTACTCAGAAGTATATCTTTCCTGGAAAGCAAATGGCTGGAGTTTTAAGGGCATGCAGGTATCACTGCAAAGAAGTAGCATCGCAGAGAAAGCAGTGCCCTACTTTATGTACTTGTACAGCAATGTGTGTGATTTATACATGTTTGTTTCTGATTCTATAACAGTGATGTCTGTTGTATACTCCCAGATATTATTACACGTGCATTTGTGTATTTCATTTTGCATTAAAGAGAATGGCATTCAAAAGAATATCTGAAAGGCACTTAAATATTTAAAACTTCAAGGGAGAAGAACTCAAAAATACCTCTAGAAATTTTCAATTGCAACACTTCTGAATTCAATTTCTTTTTTTGTTTTTTCCTTTATTTTCTTCTGTATGTCACAGGCATGTTTATTGCAATCATAGAATTGTTAAAATTGGAAAAGACCTCTAAGATCAGCTAGGCTAACCATCCACCTACCACCAATATGCCCACTAAACCATGTCCCTAAGTACTGCATCTATCCTTTCCTCCAACACTTCCTGAGAGAGTGACTCCACCGCTTCCCTGGGCAGCTGTTTCTATGTAGCAATGTAATGCTCTGGGGACAACCTATAACTGAAATGTCAGAGCAGCGTGAAAAACAAAACAAAAATCGTAGCTGATGAATTAAAACATAGTGAATATCTTCACTAATGGAGGAGGCATTCAACTTTTAAGTAAAATCAACATAAAAGCAAAAGAGATTTTTTTGAGAACGGAGAACAAAGTGAAGCTCAATGAGAAAATCAACTTGTTTCTTCCAGTTTTCATCGCAAAGTCCTTTAAAGTAGCACTGTGATAAAAAACATATCTAATGGCAAAGCTGTGCCAAGCTAATAATATGCAATAAGATTTCTAGAAACAAAGTGGAGGTCATCAATGGTTCTAATTTTATCCCGTGACTCTTTTTATGGAAGATATATGTTGGTTCGTTTAGCATTCCAAATAAAGTTCTGCCACAGAAGTTGGAGGCTGTGCTTCGTTCTTTTGGCCGTTTGCAGATAGAAAATAGACTTATTCCAGTTTTAATTATTTAATTTCTAGCCAATGCTTGTATGTGTGTTTTTGAGAATAGGTTGATTCAAAATTGCTGTGCATGTTAGAGATCTCATTTAGTAAAATAAATTAACTTCACTATTGATGACTGTCAGATTTCTAGATTTACTGTAGTTCTTTAATGTGTCTTAAAACTTAATATTATGTCTCCAAATGACAGCATGGTGACGTGAATCAGGAAGTAAATCCACAGCAAACTGGCAATACTGATAATGTCAAGGTATTGCAACTGGAGCCACATTGATAGAGTACTGCCTGTAAATGCTGATGGCTGACCAATTTGAACAGTGAAAGTACAGGACCAATTTCCAAAGTTATTCAGTATTTTTTTTCATCTGGCTACAAGGTGTTAATATACTTTTACTATGAAAATCAAGCCATTAATTTATGCGTTGTATGCTGCCAGGTGAGATGCCGTAAGGCTTTTAATTACATCTATATTTGTTTTTTCTAGAAGTGTATACTTTTTATATTTAAGAGTGTTCTTCTGAAATTTTTGAAGTCATACTTCTGAGAACGTTTTGATAATCACAGTTTTTACTCATACAAAAAAAAAAAAAAAAAAAAAAAAAAAAAAACAAGGATGGAAAGCAAAACAAATGGGCTAGATAGTCAGTTGGTGATGGGAAGAAAACTGGATGTGCCACGTTAAAGGCCAGGATAAAAGAGCCAGCTATTAGCAAAAGCAGAAAAATACTGTTCAATTTCTGAGCTGTTTTTTCAACTGTAGCATTTCTCAAAACTGCATTTTGGAATGCTGTTTTTGTTTTTCTCCTTTCAGACTGCAGCGAGCTTCAGAAATCAACCATGGGCATTAAAGGTTTACAGGGATTTGTGGCGAGAGTTTGCCCTGATGCATGCAGAATGGTAGATCTGAAAGAGATGGCAGAAAAACACCGCATCGATCATCCAGATGTCACGCCTACTATTGTAGTAGATGCCATGAGTTGTGTTCGACGTTGGTACACACCAGAATCCTGGGTGTGTGGTGGCCAGTGGCGAGAGTACCTTACTGTTTTAGAGGATTTCATTGAAACTTTTAAAGCAGCTGGTATCGAGTTGGTGTTTTACTTTGATGGAGTGGTAGAAGAGAAAAAGAGAGATGAATGGATCAAACGGAGGCAGCAGAATAACAAGGAAATAGCCAACCTATTTCAGTTTATCAAGACTCACAGGAAACAGCCGGGGAGAGGAATGTTCGTTCTTCCCTCAGCTCTGCCTACTTTTACACGGTTTGCTCTAAAGTCACTTGGTCAAAAAACAGTGTGCACATTGCAAGAGGCAGACTTTGAGGTGGCTGCATATGCTTTGCAACATAACTGCATGGGAATTCTTGGGCAAGATAGTGACTACCTCATCTATAATACATCTCCCTATTTTTCCATTGAGAAGCTCTGCTTGGACAAATTAGTCACTGTTATGTACTCCAGAGAAGATCTTTGCCGTGCGCTAGGTCTTAATATGATGCACCTTCCTCTCTTTGCTTGTTTGCTTGGCAATGATGTTGTTCCAGAAAACTTGCTGGAAGGCTTCTGGCATAAATGTTTAGTCATCTGTCCCTCCAGGAATAAGAGCTACAACAGAAGAACGAGCATAATTCTAGCTGTAGCGAATTATATCTCCAAAATTCAATGCTTATACAGCAGCCTGAAACACTTGGAAGATATGCTACCTCTGGGATCAGACAAGACATTACTTTACAGAGGAATGGAGTCCTATCTTTTGCCAGGGCAGCAGTCTCCATGGATTCCTCCTGATGCAAGAAATGTCAAAATGTTCTCAGGTCAAGAAGAAACAGCCATGTGTCGAGATAAGGAAATCTTTCAGGTACTTTGGCTTCTAAAGCTTAATGGGCATTTCATTGTCGTGACTACTTAGTGAAAGCTGGTACTGAGTATGCTGATCCTATGTATTTAAATTTGCTGGAGCCACAATTAGAAGCATTATATACATAATGCTCAGGGCAGATGCAGCGCATTTTAATTAAGTTGTTCCTCTCTTTCTGAAGTATCAGACAGGTCAAATAATGGGAAGCAGCACATGTATGGGCCCACAGTTGGGCAAAGAGATGTGCTTTCCATGTATTGTACAATGGAATAACTTGCTTTTTGCTTTGAGAACCTGCATGTCAGATACAGCTGGTTAATGGTCTGCTTGGCAGTGCCTGGCACGGGCATTCAAAGTACCAAAGGAGAGCTGTGCTAAGAATGCAGAAGTTGAAATTGCTTTCATGGATGTGTTGGAAAAGCTTCCAATAAATCTATATTTCATGATTTTGGGACCACGCTCACTACTGTTCAGATACATAATCCATGGATGAACCAAAAGCAGTGGCCTGTTAATCCTTAAAGGGCAGGTCTGCATGAAGAAGTTTCACATATGGCTTCCCACATGGGCAAAGATGCACTGGTGTTGGGTTGTGAAGAGGTACCATCTGCAGATTGGATATATTAATTAGGGTTGCCTGCCTGGCTAGTAGAAAACTGCTGCCAACGCATGCACTGATCTTTACACCAACTGGGCTGCATTGCATCAGAGTCTATACAACAGTAGTAAGCTTAGAGTATAACTGCAAATGCATGGAAATTAAGAGAATGTATTGAAGTTTAATTTAAAAAAAAGTCTAAAGGAGATGATAGCTATTACTGTTACTCCCTGTTTTGTGAGGTACATACATAAGGGCTTCAAAGAGAGAATTTTTTTTTTTGTCTGTCTGTTACTTAGTTTCCTTTAAAGCTGTTCTTCTGTTTCCTCATTATATTACTCTCATGTAATCCTATA